AGAGTTTTGAAAAATAGTAAAAATTTTAAACTTAGTAATTTAAATTATAATATTGTCATTAGAATAATTTTAGCTTTATATAAGAGGTTAAAAATTAAAATCAGCAACAATTTCTTTATTTAATTATCAGTCCTAAATTTCATAAAATTCCTATAAAATTTAGAACAATCACATGTGGATCTAATACTTACCTTACCAAACCTGGCACCACTTTCTCTAACTACTTAAATACAATTATTAACAATATTGTTAAAGAAGGTTTTTCTTGGATTATCCCTAATAATCAACCGATTTTAGAATTTATTAAACATAATAAAATTAATTCTATTGCGACTTTTGATTTCCAGGATCTTTTCAATAGCATTCCCCTTTCTAAACTAAACGATGTCATTTTGAATTATTACTATGATTTTAAAAATATCCTTAATTGCGATTTTGATTATTGGGAAATTCTAATATTTTTTTTTTTTAATAATTATCTTTACAATGGAAAAGATATTTTTCTCAAATTGATGAAATACCACAAGGATCTAATTTTTCATCCCTCTTAGCTAATTTAGTTTTGCATTAACTTATTTTTGCATCTCTTAGCTAACTTATTTTGAAAAAAATAATACTCTTAATATTAAATTTGTTTTTAGATTTATTGCTGATATAATTATCTTTAATTTTCAAGATTATACTATTTTATTAAATATTATATACCCCAGAAATCTTGCTTCGTAATCATAATGATAATACAAATTACAATTTTTTGGATTTGGGTATTATAAAAGAAGAAAATATCTGCTTTGTTGATTTATACGATAAAAGAAATGATTTCAATTTTAACATAAATAAACTAATTACTTGGAATTCTAATGTTTCTAATAACATCTATTTAAATACCATTTTTAATCGAATGAATAAAATATAAAGAATAAGTAGTAATGCTTATTTATCCAAAAAACAAATCGATAAACTCTTTTAAAATTTGATAATAAAAAAAAACAATAGATGCACAACTAAAGTATTAAATTTTATATTAAATCATTGAGTTAATTGTATATTATTTTAAATAAATTTACTAAAAAACTTCGTTGTTAATTTACATAATTTTTGCCATGCGCAAATCCATTTCGTGCCACCCGTGGCTAAAATTATATGCAAAACGGTCAATTCATGTTTCTTTCTCTTTTCTATTTTATTTTATTTTTTTCTTTACCAAAAGTTAATTTTCTGAAATTATTAATTGCCAACTTCTTTAAATTATCCAGTATACACACACACATCTTGCACACATCCATTTTTTGGCCCATCCTTGGTAAGAACGCACTATAAAACAAACCCCCCATTTACGCTTTTACCTCAATTTGCGCTTCTGTTTTCATATTTTGTAATTTCGCAATCTTGATACGACAATATTTTAAATCATTCTTGAAAAATTTCTCGGTCATGTAAGTTCTTTGAATTCGCTACTCGCTTTATAGATTTCGTTTCATGTTTTATTCTGTTTTCTTTACATTTTATTTTTGGTTTTTACGTGATATTTTAACTTAATGTGTTTTATTTTATTTGTTGTAAATTTTTCGTAAAATAGTTTTAAGTGCTCCTCACACTATTGTATTGATTTTTTTTTGCTTTGGCTATTTTGATACAATTTTAGAAAGCACTCCTTTTTGCGTATGTAATCATGTGAGCTAATGAAAACATTATATATTTTATTTTCCGGAATTTTATTAATTTTTTTTTCCTTTTTTCGGAGTTTTTTTTTTCCAGATTTCTTACTATTATTTATCTTTTTCCCTATTTTCATTGTTCAGTAATTTTTCCGGTTAACAATATGGAGAAAACAAGGAAAAAATATGAAGATATAAAGATGTAAAGAAGAAGAAAAAAATTAAAAATTGTTAAAAAATGCTTTTAAAAAATTTTTAAAAATTAAGAAAATTTTGGAAAATAAATTAATACTCAACATAAATCAGTTTAACCAATAAAATAATCTATACTAACACCATTGATATGTTTTGGTTTAACTATATTAATACAATATTAAAAAGCACTATTTTTCGGATATAATCGTGTAAGCTGATGGCGAGATTATATCTTTTCCTTATTTATTTTATTTTCTATTTTTTTAAAATTTTAATATTTTTAAAAAACATTTTTGAATTTTCTTCTCCTTTAAAAACTCTTTATATCTTTTTTCTTGTTATCTCTATATTTTTAAGTTATTTTATGAATTCAATGTACTTGCAGCTTATGCGCAGCAAATAAAACTTTTTATTATTTATTTTTCTTCTTTAATCTCTCTTTTCTTTTATTTATCCTTTTTGACTTTATGTTATTATATATACAGGGTGATTCTAAAAAGATAGGCAAAATTTTAGGAAGTAATAGTACACACCCAGTAAACAATTTTTATCATAGAATGCATGGTCGAAAACAAAACGCAAAACCGCTAGAGGGCGTCAAAGTTTATGTTCTTATATGAGGCAAAAACACACAAAGAACGATGAAGTCAAGTTATAAAAGCAAATTTAATGGCATGTGATTACAATAAGTGTTCAAAACAGTGACCGGCAGCGGCTATGCACGCAGTACAACGGCGAAGAAAAGATAGGCGAACATTCTGAAACACACCATCACGAACTTTCCCTGCAGCGGCCGAAAGCTTGGCGACAAGTTCTTCTGCAGGTTCAATGGGAGTCTCATAGATAAGAGCCTTCAGCTGTCCCCACAAAAAGCCAATTATTTTTTAAATATTTTTTGACATTATAGCACTCGAATCAGCAGCTATGTATGAATCGTGACGAAAAATTTGCATACGAGCTCTTCTTCTTCCCATAATATGCAAATAATAACTCGCAGCGCAGTAACTCGCAATAGGAATGGAGCTTTCACGTTTGCATCAAACAACTTTCCAAATGCGCCAACACCTTCGCGTCTTGTTTTCGGCCATGCATTCTTTGATAAAAATTGTTTGCTTGGGTGTGTACTATCACTTCCTAAAATTTTGCACATCTTTTTAGAATCAACCTGTATATGCTGAATCTCCTGTTTACTGCATTAGTTCCTCACCAGCTCTTCATTGCGCTTGGAAATGCATTTTGTGCTGATTTGCCCCTCTCGGCAAAAGTGGTTTTTCTTGTTCTGTTGTTCATCTTTTTTCTCTCTTGGGTACTGTGGTCTTTCAAGTTTAGTTTCTCTCTCCTATTTTTTCATTTTTCTTTGGAAACATTACATTTTTATTTCAAGTGACTTTTGCTTTTTCTCATTCAAATCTGGAAAGTCTTGAAAATGAGGGCCTATTTTTAAAACACTTGAAACCTCTACTGTTATTTCCAATTTTTATATTTCTGGAACAAATGAAGTTTTAATTCAGGTAATATTTTACCACTTCAGGCTCTTGGGGTTATTAATTTAGAAAGTATACACTTGGATACATACATACAGTGATCAAGTTAGGGATGCAAATTATTGTGAAAAGAGAGAGAAAAATACGCTATGATGAAATCATTGTAGAGGAAGGTTGGAGATGCCATAAACATTAAAACTGTTTAAATCGGCAGTTGAAATATGAATGTGTTTCTTCTAATCATCTTTTAACTCCTCAGTGTTTCCTCCCGCAATCAAAATTATATTAATGTTTTTTGCATCCACCTTCCAGTACTGAGTTTTTACTAATTTCGATGGGCGTTTTTGTTCTTTCCTTAATTAAATATCAGTTTGCGACCCGGATGTCTTTACTTTTTGTTTTTATATTTACTAAATATTCTAATATCACATAGTGAGAGCAGCGGTCTTTAAAGAACAACCTGTATATGACTTATACTGGCCCTCTTAAGCAAAGCATTTAAGTTAGTTCATTCAATAGCTAAAAAATTATCCCACGTGTGAGCACGGTATTTTTTTAATAATTTGACTGTAATGACTGTTAATATATTTGCTATCTTCCATATTTGTTATTTATATATACCATATATGCTATCTTCAACTTAACTAATGGCATTAGAAAAGCATGTAGGACAACATAACTCTGAAGCTATAGTCTTGATTGGGTAGACTATATTTGAGGGTGCCCCTTGATTCTTNTATATAAAGAATAAAAATTGATAATTTTATTTTTATTCTTTTGTTAGCTTGCATTCTGAAGGACACTTTCCCTGAAATTTTTCTTTCGTAAGTTGTAAAACAAACATAAAATATACTGGGGACATGAAAATGACTGTTTTTATGAGAATGACCCATATATATATATATATATATAATACAAAAATTATGAAAAATATTTTTGCATCAATAAAAGCATTGAAACTCTTTCGTTTTCATAAACTGAGACAGAGAACATAGAAAGATAAAGATTTTTCAAAAAGATAAGAAAAGAAAATATTAAAATAAAATATTTTTAAGAGCATTGCGTTATATTTATGCTATGCACTGATGATGACAGTTGTCAGATTTAAGCTTCAGAGCTGATCACCGAAGTCATTGAGAAAGTAAAACCTCACAGCAACAGTATTTTAATAAATGATTAGGTTTTGTTCAATGGGGGGAGAGAACTGAAACATGAAACATCATAAATTTAAATGAAGTTGAATGCCAAATATTTCATTAAAAAAAGATAACAGAAGGAGACATTTATGAAGAAGAAGAAATTCAAAGCAGCAATTTAATGCTATATTTTGAAACTGACCTGAACCATTTAAACATAAAATTTAATCTAGAAAAAGGCATCTTTTTTTTTTTCGTATTTTTTTTTAATTTTTTTTTTTTTTAATCTTTTCGCGTATTAAAATGTTCGTGAAAGTCTTCTTGTATTGTTTGGAATGCTTCATTGTACTCTACCTTGTTAAACACTGTTAGATTTTGACTTTTTTATTATTTTATTGAATAGAAAATAAATGCTTAAAATCTAAAAAAATTTTTTATTTAAGAAGTGAAAATAAGAGACATTCATCGTATTGCAAAATTAAGGTTCATTGCATATTCACTTGAAAGAGTCTTATTTTTGGTGTCAGGAGGTGACCGACGGACAGTGCTGGGTGGTAGTGCGACGGAGTTGACGAAGTGTGATCGACCCAAAGCACCCCTGCGTCGCTCCTCAGAAGGCAACTATGCCCTGCGCAGGAAATCCTCTTCTTCTTCTAATGCTGCCGACGATCCAACGTCCAGTGATCCATCCTCCGTCACTTCCTCCTCATCATCTTCATCTGAATCAGGCAAGATATAATGTTTTACATAAGGTAGAGTGCCTTCATAATCCGAATGGCTGATATACGACTGACAATAATTTTGCACCACCTTGAGGATCCTTAACATTGTGTGTCGCGGAAATTTCTAATAAATTATCCATATTATTTTAAAATTTCATTTGTTAATTTTATCCTACACATGTTTGAAGATACAATAAGCCATTAATAAAAAAATAACCATTTTAATTTTTAATATAATAGAATGTGGGGAGAGAAGTTAGAATATGGGAGCTAGTGTTGACAATTTCTATTTTTATTTTTTTCCAAAAAAGCTTACTAATTATTATATTGAACGTATCCAATGTATTTTAATTATAATTGGAACGCTTGTCTTCATTTTCAGTTATGCATTATCCTTATAAGTTATATATTATCTTAATAATAAACTTTACTGATAATCTTTTTTTTCCTCAAGAATTAGTTGCTTTGTCCACACTACCTTTTCCAGTTATTAAATCTATTGCTTTAAGCACGTAAACTCTGAAAATAAATAACTTTAAGTCTAAATATACTTTCTTGAGTTGATAATCTTAAGAAGGTTCATTTTGATTAATGTTAAAGCTTAATATGCATATAAGTACCAATCTCACTCGGTTTTTCTTGAATACATAAAGTGGTAGGAAATGTCATTCTATCAAATGATTTTTTATTTAACTCGTTAACCGGTTTTGTTGTAATATTACTCTAAATAGTATTTTATGGTATGTATAGCATTTATATTTCCTCTTGTTTTTCCCGCATCATTTTGCTCCATTAGCCATGCTCACATACTAATAAATAGAGAAGATTACTTGCTAGAAAAGAAAGAGGCAATTAGCATTTAGAAGAATTGATATTAAGGCACCTTAGGCGATACGCCGGATGACATGAATCGTCGCGTGGTATCAACCCCGCTGCAGCACAAGAGGCCAAGCAATATGCGCTAAGGCCCCGAGTTACACCAGAACAGGAGCACCACAATTGAATCCATGAGCGAAAAAGACCATTGAGCATCAGACTCAAAATTCAGAACCCACAGGGTAGTAGCGCCAATTCGATTGACTGCAGACAAGTCCGGGCCGAAATCAGGGAGACAGCAACCATAACGCGGTCCACTGGGACTTCTCAACCTAGAAGTTTGACGCACCATGCCTTTATTTAAAAATACAAAGAAGTACAAAAAGAATTTAAAAGCACATCAAAGTCGTAAAAAATAGAATGGACAGCAGCTAGGAAAATGCCAAATACTGGCTCACAAACAACAAGATAGTAATTTTTTTTTCTATGAGTAGTCAATCCTCTTTTGTATGTGCTTGAGCGTTCCTTTGTTCGATGGACGCATCCTCTTTAAGTCACTATGATCGGGGCTCAGCTTTAGTCCAAACTTTTTGCTTGTTTCAGAGCAATTTAAGCAATTGTTTTTTAGCAACTTTTTTTTTCCACTCCACCCTAATTGTTCAGTAGCCTACTAGGGCCTTCTAACAATATGTGTTCTCTTAGCATAAGGCTCTGTCTTTTTATTAACTCTATTAATTTCATTGAGAGTTCTTTCGAACTCTTTTGCATGATGGAATAGAACTCCATTTTGTCTTAGGACAATGTCACAACAACTGGGGTCTTACCCTGATTATCACTTATTGTTTTTATTAACGACAGAAACACAGTCATCTTTTGGTATCATGAAACAGGCAAGAAATTGATTTACAATGATTTAATCATCGTGGCTTATAAACATTTAAAACAAATAGCTGTTAATAGTTTGCTGAAGATTTTAAATAAATATTGCTTACCTCGATCGTTAATATGCAACCACTTTAAATATTGTAGGGGTATCTTTGAGTTTGTAAATATTAATTTATGTTTAATATCTAAACTGTATTCAAATTGAGGAGAAAAATTATTTCATTGACAAGTGATTGTATTAGAAGTGTGGTTTTAATGCTTATTCTTCAGAAAAAAAATTTCTAATTTCATCGAATTTTGCTTTTATTTTATAAAGTAGTTTGACAAATAAATATTAAATGTATGCTGAGAGACATTAATAGAATTTCAAAAGTTCCCATTTTACAAATGCAATAAAAATTTCAAAAATCCAAATATAATCAATATTTTGAATTAAAAATACCAAGCTATAAAAATGTATTAAAGCATCCACTTTTATGTAAAATGTGTAATTTAAAAAAAGATGATAATTGAAATTAACGAAATTGAATAGAGGTAATGAATGACTGCGTAACAAACCTCGGTATTTTAATACATTTGTGGCAATCGCATTGTATTATTTTGTAAAGAAAATATATCTGTATGCTAATTTATCTCTGAACGCCAAAGTAGTGTCTCAATAAAGGAAATTTCTACTTTTCGAATTTATTTTTCCATTGAATTTTTGGAAGAATCATGGGATCACTTTATAATACCGATGATTTCACATCTCTAATGTGTGTAATCATTAGTTCTTTTAAGTTCATGATCCATTACATAATTAAAACCACCAGTGACTATTAAAATATGTAATGAGTACGCGTTTTTTGTAGCTGACGCGTGCTTCGCAACAAGAGCTTGTGTCTTGTCCCGGTATTCCTTGGGAACAACTGTGCTGTTGCAGCCGTGTAGGTAAACTGTACTGTCAGTTCCGTGTCTTTAAAACTTTCAAATTAAACAAGTCGCCCGCCACGCGCGAGATACAGTCAGTGATGCATTTTTAGTCGGTAAAAAAATATGTCTGCTTAAAACTTGCGAAGTTACGATTTCTGAAGTAGCAAAATTCCTTGTCAGCATGTCAGGGAATTTTGATATTCGATGACAATGATTTTCACCGCAGCTCAGATCCCAGCTTTATTGGACTCTTTTGGTTAATAAATTTGAACCACCCCTCCCTACAACCCAGACCTTTAGCTGAGTGATTTTCATCTTTCCGATATATCAAACATTATTTTGGCGGGAATCACCGTAACATATAAATAAACACTACAATCAGTAAAAACGAAAAAAAAAAGGATAGGCATGTAGAATCTGGAAATAAATTTACTTCTTGAAAATTTTCCTTCGTTTGGTTTTTAATTTCAAACTGCCCTTACTTAAAACATAACTCTCGTATTATATCTCCCATTGTTAGAAACAACAAATAAAAAATAGTCTAAATATGTAGAAAGCAAACATGAAGAAGTTACTTTTCTACTATGAAAATCTTTCTATTTAATTTGCTACTTAACACTAAAGTCTTGTATGTGAAACTCTAGCATAATTTGCCTATTTCACAAAATTTGCAGAAAATTTTTGTGTTATAAATAACATTTCATTGGTCCCCAATATAATTTACAAACCTTGACATTAAGGCTTTTCGTGAAATATTTAAAAGCGAGAGATTCGCAAGAAATGGCCGAAAATATTCACACAAATCTGTGGAGTCTTCTTTTTTTCATGGGGGGAAACCTAGCAACCTCAAAGGTTTCTTAGAATACTCTTCACTAGTGAACAATTCGCGTGAGTTGATGATTTCTTGATTTTACTGTATTTCTTCTTAAAGAAAATGAAAAAAAAAAGATATTAAGACAAGGGAGTATTGATTGAATGTACAAAAAAATCGATAAATTATTAAAGAAAAAATCACTGATGCGTTGAAGAAGAAAATGGTTCGAAGCTAAAGAATAACCAGTAGTCAGAAAAAACTTCATTTTCTTTGTAGTTAACTGCAGTTACTTTTTTTTTAAAATGTAGTGACTACAAATTGCTTTCGAAATGCAGTTTGAAGACATACTTCACTATTTTTAGAAGACTTACTTTACCGGCGAGCATAATTTTCACCTATATTCTAAATGGTTTTTAATAAAAAGAATTAGCTTAGTTACATATGAGAAGATATCCAGAAATGTTAATTCACATTTACATAATATAGCACTATTTATAATATCCCTACATAATGTCCCACATAATATAGCACTATTCTAAGCGCTTTTTACGAATTTGTTTTTTTAACCTTCTAACTCTATGCTCTTCTCGACAGTGAATATTCAATTTAAGAAATGATAGGAAATTATGAAATATTTAGGTGATATAATGGCGATTCAGGTGATGAATGCTTTTTTTTATATTCTCCAAGAAATAAAGTACAGTGTGCAAAATAAAAAATGGGCCACCCTGAGTAACTTTACATCTAATGAATGGATCTTCACGTTCTAGGACTCAATCTTAATGGTTCGATTTCTAATAATTCCTTTGCTTACAAGATTTCCAATGCACGTTACATCTGTCGAGTCTCAAAGTCCTCCATGTTCCCACAACAAATCAATACCTCTGGGGGTACTGATCCAGGAGTTTCCTTGTCTTCTGGATTGGTTCAAAATTACAAGGCTACGGAGTTGAACGTAAGTAGTCGTAAACCCATGAAATTGGGTCGGCTGTTCAACGACGGTTATAAAATAAAAATATATAAAAACCTTCTATTGACAATATTTTTAACTTAAGTTGTGGAACATACTCTGCTACATCATATTTTTTCTTTAAACATATTCATAAACTTTTCAATAAAACGTTTTCCTTTAAATGTTTTTTTACTAAACACCTACTCTCACATAGTGTAAGAATCCTTGAAATTAATTAGAATAGGAGTAATTAACCTTTAAAATATTCATACTTCTAATCTCACAACGTTATTTTAAAAAAGAAGCATTCATAATTATAAAATATTTATGATTTTGAACTATAATAATGATATAGATGTTACCATGAATGACCCAAAGGGGTGGTTCCACCGGTGAATGTCAACAATCACATTGGGGAATGTTCGGAAATGTTTGTTAGATCCGATTTAATATTAGTTTGTTGGTTGATATATTCATTCTATATTTTAATATCTTCTAAGTATAGATAAGAAGAAACATCAGTGTTCGGAGTACCGGTTAAATGCATACTGGGCAGTGGCACTTGACCTTAAAAAAACATTGATGTAGGACATACCGGGCAGTGGCACTTCATTAGACCTATATATTTCGGGCATTTACCAAAGCGATCGTCAACTTTCACCGGTGGAAGTCAACAATTACCCATTTTGGGTATTCAGAGTAGCATATAAAATTCATTTATTTTAATTTTTGTATTTATTTTATCAACGAAACACACATTACAGATTTAAAAAAATCCGATGAAAGTGGTTTACAATAATGAAAAAAAGTAAGGTCATTGCAACTATAAAGCATTAAGGCATAAACTTTTAGAAACTGTTAATAACATTACCCGATTAAAAACTTCATTCGCTTCAAAAACAAACATGTTTCAAGCACTTCAAAAGTAGGCGCCCATTTTCAAGACTTGCCAAGAGTCAATGAGAAGAAACGAAAGAGATTTGATATAGAAAACGAAAATTTGGAAATGAAAAGTAGAAAAAGGAAATTGAGAAGAAAAAAAGAAGAAGAAGAAATCAGTAGTCTAGAGAGAAAAAAGATGAAAATTAGAATGTCATACGCAAGGAAATCAGCATTCATTTGTAATTTAGTACTTTAAAATCCAGTTATTACATCAAAAATGATTCGGGCTTATTTAATTTTTTCCCCTTGTTGAATGCAATCAATAAAAATTTCTAAAGCTATTATGCCACATAAGCCTTCGACTATTTGAGCAAACTATTTCTTCCAATTAAAGTGAGCTGAAGCATTACTTTTAAATAATTTTTATCAGAACTTAAGAATACGAGAATTTGGTTATTCAACCTATGAGATATTTGTTTGTATGAAGTGGGACAATTTATCAAAATATGAATGCATTACATTTGCTATCACTTTTGAGACTGCCCTATTCCGATGAAAGGTCTGATGTTAAGACTGTATTTACAACAAATGAGTCAATATTAGCATACATACCATCCAGATACAATTTCTTGTGAAATTTCAGATTGCAACGGATTATAATTTGTAGTAGTAACGAATAATTCACTTCTTTTGGGAAAAAAAGGAATAAAATTGAAATGTTCTTATTACTAATATTTTGCTTTTTTCGTCAAAATAACGGCCATGAAGTCATTCGACAGTCATTTTTGATAAAATTATAGGTTATCCATTGAAATTGTGGCAAAAATTTAATGCATGAAGTTTAAATCAAGAAAATGAAGTTGCTGGGTTGAAATTTTAGCTGAATTTATAATATTTGTCAAAACACGTCCATTCATTTCAAACTCGCCGTCGAGCATCATTGAGAATCAGTCAACGATTCTCTTAACTCGGTGAGGAACTTCATTGCTTCAAAAATATTTTTTGATTCTTTATCTTTACGGGAAAGTTTCGTTTCAGAAAAAGATATTTGATTCATTATTGTTATCAAGAATGACGTTTTCGATTAAAGAAAAAATTATTTCTGTTTTTGAAATATTTGTAGCAATTGTGATCATGAGGAGTGAAAAGAATAAAAATATTGCTATCTTAATGAAACAACTTATTCTCTATTTGTTTTTGTCTTGTGTACACAGAAATCTATCATTCATGAACGTGCTCATTGAATTTAGGGCACTCTGTTGTGTTTACTTATGACTTGAGTTCACATTTCACGACGTCGTCTACAAAAAAGAAAGTAAGACTTTATCCAATGATTGGTTTAATGATTCATAAAGCGCAGCATTAATATTTCATTTTATCAGATTGTTACTTAATCAGAACCGTGCTTCGTTGAGTGTAGGATATAAAACATAATGAGATATTACAATAACTTTCTGAAATATTATATCATGTCCTAGATATAGTAAGATCAGACCCCTTCTTTTTGACTGGTTCGAGTTTATCAAAATTAAGAGGAAGATTTCTGTAATTCTGAAAAAGTGACATTGATTGAATGTTTAAGACACCCATGCTAATTTTTACATTTCACGTTTTCTTTTTGAGGGAGGGGGGATTCTATTCTAAATTTTAATTATAAATTTTTTCTCTTAGAAAATTTCATACCAAAAAATAATTTTTCATAATCACTTACTGTGATTTTATTTAACTTGTTTATAGGACCCTATATTAATATGTATATTGAAAAGTATAAAATTTTGATTAATCTCGTTAAGTTTATCTTTATTTAAATGCGAAACTAAAATCAATAAAAATTCAATTCAAAAGTTCTTCCGTTATAGCATATACAATACACAACAATTTTGTTAAAAAAACGAAAAACTGTCCATCGTTACTTTGAAATGTTCCTCTCAAACCATAAATTTGCTCTGCTAAGTTCTAAAAAATCCCCTTAAAACATATAAAAGTATAAGATCGGTTATTTATTTTTTAATTTTAACTAATAGCGACACATGTCCCAATTAGTTTTTTACACATCTCTGTACTACTACTTTGAAAGCTTGTTATTAAATATTAAGTTTTTTTCTTTGCTTTTCAGTTGTGCAAAAAGAGTCATTATTCTATGAAAATGTTACTTCAAATAAGAAAATAGATGTTATTCTGTCATCTGACCTTCTAAGTTGTTTCCAGCTGTAATTAACATCTATTCTGTTGTAAAAACAATTCTACATTTATCTTTGATTTAGTATTACAAATAAATCAAAACTATATAGAGGGTGATTCTTCATAAAAAAAACCATCCTTTTTATGCATTTTTAGAATCCTTATTAAAAATAAAAACAATAAGTATACTCTGAGGGGTGTCGTCAATAAATATTGAAGCAGGGAAAGAAACTAAAGCGAAACTGAAATTTTAGAAATAGACTAAAAATCTGAGTAGTAGGAAAACGTGGATTTAAAAAAATAAAACAAGAGGCAAAAACTTGAAGGTGTTTCTTATATTTGGTTTTTAACTCCCCTCTGTTTCCTTCCACAATTAAATCTGTCTTATTGTTTGATTCCCTTACTGTCAGATTTCAAAAACGTTTTAATTTCTCCTCAAAGAGGATACTTTTTTATTTTGACAAGGATTCTAAAAATGTATATGAAGTGCGGTTTTCTACGGAACTGTATATTTAAGAATCCTACATACATTTTATTTATTTCTGTTTAACAATGAATGAAGGTATTTTTTTTCTACAGGTTGCAATGGTGACTCTGAAACGTGCAGCTACTGTCGCCTGTCGGAGAGTAGTGACACGTACGAATGTCCCGACAGCACGGACGACGAGAGATCCTCTTCATCGTGCGACAACACCAGGTACACATCTATTCAATACAATATCAAAAGTAAATACTGATCATTTCGACTGTTTTCAATGCTAATGTTAATGAAATGGAACCTTCAGAAGGACAGTGCCTTGACTACAGAAAAAATGTCTTTAACAAAATGTTTACTCGTATTTCATAGTGCTTATTAGTAAAATTTAATTTGTCAAATATTCTCCAAATTAATCATAAATCCTTTCATTTTACTTCTGTTATGTTAATATATATGTTTATATATGTAATACAAAAATTATAAATACTTTTGTATTAATAACAACATTAAAACCCTTTCGGCTTCATTAAATGTCTCTCGTAAAGAATAGGTGTAGAGATTCTATTTTGGGACTTCAAGGCTGAAAATATACCATTGAATTATAATTAGATTTATATTTCAAAGGAGGGGTTATTTTTAGAATCTTGTCCCTCTTTCACTTCCATATTAGGAAGCCTTAAATGATTTTCCATAATGCGTAGAGTTACAAGGTATGTACGCCTGGAACCTGTTTACATCAAAATCTATAGGTATTTAATGCGAGACCGATGATTTTCGCATGTCTCTTCCTGAATATCGTGTTCCATAAAAGTTCTGCCTGAACCATCCGGAGTTTTGTCCACACCCCCTCCCTTGTGGAGTGGGGATGTGAACTGTTATAACCACCAGCCTATCTTTAAATAAACCTTTTTAGAACGTATTATGGCTTATGACTGCATTATCAAANATATATATATATATATATACGAACCGCCATAGCATGCATAATTTCTTCGAAAATATGCATACGCAGCATAACTTATAAGTTATTATTTTAAAATAAACTGATATTTCGTTTGTTTTTTGTCATTTCTTATGAATATTTTAAGACAATATTTAATAGACGATTTCGAGCAAACATGAAAAGCAAGTATCGATATAGCATAGTATTAATAATTAATATTAAGTAATGTTTCCATCAATATATTTGAATTTGTGCATTTACTTTCCCGGTGTAGCATCAAAAAGTATTCTTTTATTAAACATTTTGTGTATGTTGAATGGAAAAATAATTTCCATTTTTCTGAATAGTTCACATTCTTTGCGGTCTCTCTCTCTCAAAGGTTTGTCTGCGTCTTTTGTCAACACCCGCTTCATCACAAAAATAGTTATGAGAGAACACTTTTGGAAACTCGACAAGGAAAATGTCACGACGAATTTCTGAAAGATTCAAGAATGTTGACATTCTCAAACATAACTAGAAAATCCTTTCAACTTTACAAACACCATTTTATGGCCTCGAATTTTTTACGAATATATGGCATAACTCTAAACTATACAATCGATTCGTGCTGTTTCTCAAAAAATATGAATTTACGTACTTTTGTAATATATGCTAGATTAGTGGATTTTAACTGATGCATTTTTTTCGAAGAAGCAATGGATTTGAAGTAAAGTATAACTCCAAATATTAAACGCATCCTATAACTGAAATAAGACAAATTCATTAAAAATGAAGCAAGTGACATTACAGAGTCACACAAGAACTCAGTGTAAAGAACAAACAGGGTTGCGACGGGTGACTAAAGATGCAAAAGTAAACTATTGAAAGCCAATGCAAGCAATGAATAATTGCTTGTATTACTATAGATATGAATAATTTGAAATGTAAGTCATAGTGGCAGTTACGATTGAATAATTAAAGGGATTATACATAAATAAAAATTTATTGAGTTTCTACCACTTTTTACATTTTTAGTCTCCTGTGGCATCCATGTACCACTGATATAACTGCTAAAAATAAATTGTTAGAATTCTCCAATTTCAAAACACAATACATATCTCTCAACAAGATTTATCCATTGAGTTTCTCTTGCAGAAATGTTCAGGAGACGCATCATTTGACGGGTGATACTCGTCATCCATTTATTTCAAGTAAATAACAAGTCTATTGCAGATAGATTGATAATTACCCTGTAAGATTGAAGGTTATCAAATTTGACTTGGTAACTCAATAAAAAAAATCAATAATCTTAATCAAAAACTGACTACCAGTTATTCATTGGGTTGTTTCATCTTCGTCTGGTTTTTAAATAAATCGGAATCTATTATGTAGGAGTGTCACCTTTCTTTCTACATTCAATTAGTCGTAACAAACCATTTTTTATAATTTGTTGAACCTGCGAATGATATTGTTTTTATCCGGCTAAATAAAAAGCTAACTTCATTGTTTGGCCGGCAGAATAAATGTTTTTCATTTTAATCAAAATATATCAGTCATAAAATATTTTTCTGGAAATTCTCATTGACTATCTTGTGCCGTGTTGGCTCAAGGGATAGAGTGCTCGCCCTCCGTTGAAGTGAACCGGGCTCGAATCCCAGCGATGACGGGTCGATTCGAATTTCACCGCCGACTTGCATTGCCTACAGTGTGGCCGTAAAATATTCTCAGTGGGTCAGGGTAACAGTGGAAGGTTTTCGTGATTTTCCTCTCCATGTAGCGCAAATGCCGGTTAGTTTCCTCAAAAATTTCACCACGAAAACAAATTTCATCCAATACTTGATCTAGGAGTTCCCTTGCTTTTTGGATTGGGTTCAAATGACAAGACTACGGAGTCGCAAACACAAAATTGGGTAGTTTGTTCAACAATGGTTATAAAATGACTATTTTGTTAAACCAGGGACTTTCTAGTGGGGGGTCGAAGTACTATCGATACTTCTTTTAAGTTCATTCTCTCCCAAAAATGATATTTTTAAGTGGATTGCGTCATAAATAGCAACCATGAGAGAATATTGGATCCTTCCACATAATTACACTGTCAACTACACTAGTTAACTTTATTCGTATGGCATAAAATAAATTGAGCTTTCTTTTTTTCTGAAAATGTGTACTTTTTCATACATGTGTAACTTAATTTCACTTTTTCGATCGTTATGTTGCCTTCTAATATGTCAAATGAATATTATTGGTTTGCACCATCTTCCGAAAAGACCTATCTTGACCCAGCATACCCTACTTACTTGATAATTTTATTGAATTATGTCTAATTATGTTCATACAAAAGAAAATGTTAATACTTCAACCTATCGACCTAATAAAAAAAACTCGCTTAATTTTGAACACTAGTGTACTTTAAATGTATATTTTCTCTTTTATATATTTAGTCTCTTTTAAATATCTCTTTTAGGAGACCTCGTCTCACTCGAGCACTTTCAATCGACCACAACACTCCTTCGAAGTCTCGTCCTTTGAGACGTTCTTCTCCCGGAGAGTATCTGCGACACAAAAGAGACCAGATGGAGAAGTTGCGCAACGAGAGGCTTCACTCTCCCGGTCGCAAACAACGGACCCACTTCCACGGGAGCGATTCTGATTCCCGGAAGCAGAGGTCCAGCCATCCTGTTTCTCCCTCACGAAACCGCCAGAGACCCTCTTATAGACGGAGTGTCTCGGAAGAACCAAACACAACTCAGCAGATCCAAAGAGAATCTTCCAGCGGATCGAACTCTGAGGGGAAGCTAGAAACATCGTTTTCGAGAACGAATCACTTCAAAGGAAGTGACCCATCGGGAATCGCCACTCTCAGGAAATCCAGTAGCCGAGAGAGAAATGGGTCCAGCGTGGTTTGGAATCACCCTGCGGACGAGTCGACACCCTTCGTGACTGCCACTTTCTCGTGTGCGGTGTGTGAATGCGACATTCCCTTCACGAACTGCGCCCTGTGCAGTGCAGAACAATCATTTGGGAGTGTGACCGGTGAGTGCGATGTGTTCGCGAGCAATGATTCCAAACAAGTCGAAGTCATTCCTCAGGATTCGAAAGATAAGGAAGAGTTGGAGGAATTTTACGACAATCCAAAGCCAAGTAATTTGTTTGTATTTCTATATTTAACTTCATATACAAGGCATAACCTCACATTTATTAGAATGGAACATAACTTTTTGTCATAAAATGTATTTCATGTTTTTAAAAAGTTAACATTCCTGATCACCACTATAATTCAGTAACTGAAACACATATAAAAAGAATGGGGTGATGATTAATGGCAATTAAGTGGATGAACGATAAGTACCACTATAGCAGAAACTTCTGGTTTCTGTGGAGACTCACTACTATGAGAATAGGTTTGCATCTAATGAATGCCTGCCAACTTTTACTGATTCCAAGTGGCTCAAAAATTAGTTAAAGTCAAAAAGTTTTCCTCACCATCGTACACAATTTATTCATTTGTAGTGATAGTTAAAACCATTTTAAATTTATAATTCATTGAATAAAATTGAAAAGTGTGAGCTTGGCTAATCACTTTAAACATGAAATCTTTCGGAACAATTGACAGCTATGCCGATGTTATAGAATTGGAATGCGTCAAAATGAGTGGTTCATTTGTAAATTTTTTTCAACGGGGAATTTAAAAATGATGCTATTTAAATACACAAAAAAAGTTTTGCTAATCATTCGCAAACAGAAAAAGATTATTTTATTTCTCAACGACAGCATTTTTGGAGAAAAACTATTTTTTCCAACACTATAAGGATCTAACTGCATTTCCTGACTTATTTAAATAGATCGGTTAAAGTCAAATGATCGGAAAATGTGTTTATGCACCTTCAATGATATTTATAGGCTTCAAAATGATTGATATTCAGAAAAGAACCAAGAATTTAATTTTATTTATTTTATTTATTTGGAACAAATTTGCACAGAAACAAATAGCGCCCTATCGTAATTGTGAAATTTAAAAATGTGATACCAGTTTTGAATGACAGATTTTTCTAGAGCAGTTCTATACAGACATATCACAATAAGTCAGTCAAACCATTTAAAAGTAGTTTTTTATAAATAAATATTTTACAATTCAGAATGGCGATCTGGAAAAAAAAATTCTCTATTTTACAGTGATTATTAAAGATGGTTCATAGTTTTTTTTTCAGAACTTTTTGTGTATTGCTTTGATAAATTACAGAAATCTCACTAACTGGGCTAAGGATAATTTATTAAAAGCTTAGAAGGAGTACAAGTAGGGTTAAAAATTACAATGTAGCAGTCAGGCGACAATGGTACACAATTATTTTTTCTTAGTTGCCATAACTTTTCAGTAAAGAGCAATTTTTAAAATCATAGTTTTAACCACAGTATTCGTTCTTTTTTATCATAATGGTAAAAAAAATTTCAATGATCATTCTAGGCTTTAAAATGTTCAGGAAGTTAAAAACTGTAAAGGGTAGAGGGCACTTCAACCTCCACCCAAAAAAATAGAGCTCCCATATCAAAAAAGTGGTATGTATTTCAGAAAAGTCGCTTAGTTAAATACGCACTTTCTATAAACTAGTTTTAAAAAGAGCGTAACTCTTGAGTCTTAAAATATTGCTTTGCGGTTTCTTAAAAACGATATCAAAATGATTGGGGGAAACAAAACGCTACTGCCTTTACTGCACAAAAAAAAGAATAATGAATAAAAAATCAAAAATTAATGTGAGTTGAGAGAGTAAAAAGAGAGTACTAGAATAAGAAATTCACTACCCGTAACTTCGAATAAAAAAATATTGGAATTGAAAGAAAAAACAACAGAAAATGCTTGTAAACGACAGATAACTGCCTAGAAAACGATTCGTAAACGAAGAGAATTTAGGATGAAAATGGATTTGCGAATTAGGCGTATCAAGTGAAAAGGACGAAAAAATTATAGAAAAACGGTGTTGCCTTACGATGTAATAGTAGCGAGTCAAACGAGTCCAAAACTGATTATAACTCAAATTTATTCAAAATTCGCGTGTCGTAATAACGTATTAAAAACATCGGACTTAGAAAAACCAGGTTGAAAGCGTTAAAACACGGATAAATAAGAACTGGAAAAACTATCATCAAACGACGTGAAATGAGTTGGAATCGGTAAGAATCGAACTCGTCAAAAAGTGATTACTCAAATTCCCATGTCGTAATAACATCGAAACAAAAAATATCGGAATCTAAAAAACCATGTGAAAAGGAGAAACATCTTCAGAAAAAACCTCCATCAAACGATGTGAAACTACAATAGAATCGTCACAAAGCTAACGCTTCAAAAAAGCGATAGATCAAATTCGAATGCCATGACTTCCTGTCTAGAAAAACGCCGATACTTGGTGACATCATACTTGTAACTTTCAGTCCAGCTCGGTCAGGATTTATGTTTAAGCCATGTATTTAAAGAAAAGGGTATTTTGAAAACTAATCGTCAAAAATGTCGACGGGGTGTTTAGACGTCAAATTCAAATTTTTAGGTGCAAATTACGATTTAGGACAGCTTGAAGCAAATTCGCTATAGGGTTCAATTAATTTCAAGCCTTCAATCATTCTCCCAATTTGAAATAATATTGAGAATTTTTTTATTGTAAAAAATTGAGTTAGTAGTCAGAAATTATGAAATCAAGGAAGTGTGCATAAACTAGTCAGCATGAAAAGGCCATACCCGCAAAATTGTCAAGGGAATTGCAATTTGTATGTTGATGAAAATTTCTATCTTTCGGATTATAATAAATAATAGCAAACTATTATTTATTCTTCGATTGCGAGCGGGATGAATGTGATAAATGCTTTACCATTTCATCAACTAAACTAAAACTTCATTTAACGGTGACAAAAGCTTACTAGGTTAGACAAAATTATTAAAGATACTTTTATGGACAGATTCCTTTGAGAATACATGCAGTTTTTAATGAAAAAGAAACTGAAAAATGTACAGATGAAATCAAACTGAGTATCGCATCTTAATACTGTGAAGGTATTAAAGCATATAGTTAACACATTTTCACGCTAATTAAAACGCATTCTAACCTTTACAGGGCTGCCAACTTTCTACGCTTTTTGTAAACATTTAGTTTATATATTAATGTATTAATTTTTATTCATTCGAGCTTATTTTCCACACCACTACATATACATGATTTCATATACAACGCCACTTTGTACCAGCTCTTTCGTGGTAAAGCTTTTAAAATCTTAGAAAAAAAATTGAAAGTTTTGTCTTTCAAATATTTACCACTCTGTAAAATATTTTGCAAAAAGCGTAGTAGTTGGCCGGCTTGCCTTTACACAGATAAGATGTTTTCCTCGAAGCTTATTTCTCGAAAAATTAGAAATAGTACACTTTATGGAAAATAATGCTTGTTATCACCACGATTATTTATTGGATTATGTTTCAGTAATACTATGTTTAACAAAATATGATACTTGCAAATATGAATATGATACAAAATTGAAAGTATGATTTCATCCCTGCATAATTCTGTTCCATTTTGTGTGATTCTTGCGAAATTTCCTAGCCTCAAGAGTCTACTGTGTTTACTTAATATGATCCTTGTAATATTGATTGATATTGTTTACAAATTGTTCTTTTTGACTGAATAGCGTCGTACGGAATACCGAGGTGTATGAATTATTATTTTTTTTCTTTGCATGTGCTGCAGCGAGCAGTCCGAAACTGAGGAGATCTCCGGAAGAAAGACGAATCCAGTTGACGTCCAAAGGAAAGAGCTTCAACCAGGAAGAGGATGCAGCACACTCAGAGAGACGGAGGAGTATCCAACTGCGGAAGTACAACTCAGAGCCAGCACCCGATAGAGAGACTTCTCCTCCCACGAGCAGAGAGAGCCAGTCAGACATCCGTATCTCATCTACAGAACACCCAAGATGTAAATACAAACACATACGGTTGATGAGCTGCGTTTAAGAATGTTCTGAGTTACATTCTCTACTCTACTTACAAACACCAGAAACAGATTTTTCTTGACTGATTAGGCAGAATTAACTTAATGTAGCTGACCAGTTTCTAAATTCAAAATGCTCTTTCAGAATGTCAATTGGAATTTCTGCCCTCTAAGCTCTTCAATCTTAGTTTGCGAACAAATGTATACCATAAGAAAAAAATCATGAAAATACTTAATAACAGTTCTGCAATTACGGGATTGCTTGTAAAAATGGGCGTATCTCCACTTTTAGGTAGTCTGGAGCAACGACTCCCAAACAGCGCTCCGTGGGTTTTGTGGAAAGATCACAAGCGTTTCAAGAAAAAAAAAAACAATTACCTGTAAATATGCTTGAATTCAATCAATAATCCTTAATTGATTGTAACATTCCAATTATTTTAATAAAATTATTTAATTAAAATACCAATGAAAAAGTAATAAAATAAGAAAATCCATTTACAATATATAAAATAAATAACAAAAAGCATGTGTATTTACAAATATTTATATCAGTTTTTCACATCGAGCATTTCAATTCAAAATGAAATAATATAATTCTAGAATAATGAATTATGTTTCTAAGCTAACTGTTCTCACAGTTTATAACAACTCTAGCAACTAACAAACATCGTTCAAAAAGATTCAGGATTTATCCTCTTTTTCCGCAAAAGTTTAAAAGTTTCTCTTCGTTTTTGCTTCTCAAAGGAGAAATTTTCAAGTCACCATCCTCACAAGTGTTGTTGGAAGGTGAGCCTTTCGTTTGACAAGAGAGCACCTCAAGGGGAAATCACGTCTTGGCTCAGATCCCCGCCTATAGACGGCAACATCACTCATTCGTGAGGCCATATCCTTAATTCTGATCTAAGATGTGAAGAGGAAGGAAATTTTGCAAATCCATGAACCCATGGTGCTGCTGAGCGACCGACCACAGGACTTTCGGTTTCACAGATTTTACGAGCACATATATCTCATGTACTCCATGGGTCTTAGCAGAGTTGAGAATCTAGCCCCACCCCTCCGGACCGGAGCCCGATTCTCTAACCACTGGGCTACGATGCTAACAAGGCTCTATCACAAGTGCTTAAAATATTTGCTAAGAAATGCTTTAAAGTATTTTTTTCCTCCAAGAAAGTTCACAATCACGTGATCTTATACTTTCAAGTTAAAGAGTCTTTCATACATTTGAATATTTTGTTCCATTTTCAACGTTCTCTGTTCATCAGAACTGATTAAGTACTCAGCTGAAAAGTTAGAATTGCCCTCACTGCACGATTCAGTATCGCCTACTATTAGGTTAGCAAGTAGGTAATTTCGGCTTTTTAAAATGTATCATAAAACTTAATTTTTTCTGTGAAACAAAATCAGTCAAATATCTTCCATTTTGTTTAGTGATCTTTTGTCATATTTGAAGTATCTTTATGATCCCAAAACTTCTGGTTCTTATCAACACAAAACTCAACTTAGTTTTATTTTATTTTATTTTATGACCGCCGTTGAACAGTTGACCCAATTTTTGTGCTTACGACCATTAACGTTCAACGCCGTAGCCTTGTAATTTTGAACCAATCCAGAAGACAAGGAAACTCCTGAATTGGTACCCCCAGAGGTATTGATTTGTTATGGGAACATGGAGGACTTTGAGACTCGACAGATTTAACGTGCATCAGTCACCATTAACCACACGGGGAGTCTTCGACCGGCGGGGACCGAACCCACGAACTCTTGGACATGGGTCCGGCACCCCACTGACCAGGCTATCCCGGCCTAGACTTAGTTTTATTTGATAACATCGCTATTTCTGAAATTAAATTTTTATCATTTCTAGATTCTTGTAAACATCTTGCAATGAAATAAATGAAGGTCGAGGCTGTATGAAAGATCGCAAAAGAATTGTGTTCCCCCTCGTCAATGCGAGACTTCTTTAGCAACACTTATTAGAACTTAGTTGGGTGGCATCCACCTTTATATCCCCGACTTTGCACCATCGGAATATCACTTATTTAAAATTTTACAAAACTTTTTTAATTAATAAAGTTTTCAGTAATAGCGATGACCTCAAACCACATTTGGTTGCGTTTTTTGCTGATAAATACCAGATATTCTTTGAGCACGGGATTATGAAGTTACCTGAAAGATGACAAAACATCTTCGAACGAAGTGGTGGATATCTGACTAATTAAAGTTTTTTTTTAATAAAGAAAGAATTAAGTTTTGTTTCACATCAAAAAATTGATTACATTTTTCCACCAAAGAACTGAAAAAACCAACAATTCAAAATGGATGAAAGACTCTTTAACGTAAAAATATAAGATCATGTGATTGGGAAATTTCTTGAAAAAAAAAGAACTTGAGATGAAATACTATTTGAGATGAATAATAATTTGTGATGAAATACTCTTTTAGTATGTAAAATCGATTCATGAATTAATTCAGATTACTGAAATGTTTCGAATATTCTCTGAAAAAATGAAGCTATGAACTTACATATTCTTCTTACGGCAACAAACTCATCCATTTATTTATTTCATGTAAGGACATGAATCACAAACAAACAAGAAATAATGATAGAAAAAAGCTTATTGACTCCGAGCAATCTTTAAAATTTAAATGACATCCTGTAATCGAATGATCTTCATTATTAAAAATTAAAATCCTCTGCAAATAAAAATATTTATCCATCCTAGAAATTTAATACCTAGATATTTTTCATTATCAAAAATTAAACAACTTCTTTGCTAGAAAATGTTTTCTGATTTTGAAAATTAAATGCGTGTAACGTCGGAATATTTCTTAATTTCGAAAATTTAACAAGCGTGCAACAGAATTCAAGTAATAAGTGGCAAAAAAATCCAGAATTCTTTATATATATATATANCAGTGTCGCAAAGGCACTTGTAGTTGTGAAATAGTGTGGAATAGCATATCATTAAAATAAATTATTAACATTTTTATATCATATGGAAAATTTATCATTTTTAAAAAAAAATTATTTTAGAAATTTGAATGCTTTAGTATTTATTGGATGTAGATTGTAAATTTCAATGGTTAGGGTTATTTATTTAAAAATTCAAGAAATGAAATGAACTTGGTGGACTTATTAGAGATGCTAGTTTTACCTATATATTAAATGCACTGAATGACTTGTTGATTTAAGAAATTTAAATCATTTTCATTCTATTGGAATGAAATGGGTAATAAAGGTAGGGGTGTCTCTCTATGACAAGATTCATTGGTTCCAGAAGAGACATTTGCTTTAGAAAGTATTTCATTCTATGGAGGTTAGATATCTTTGCAGTTATTTGAGTCAGGAAAAAATTTTAATGTAAAGAAATAAATTTTTTTCTTTGTTTTAATAATAGTCTTAAAATTAGGTTTTATGTCAGAAAATTGAATTTTAAGGTTTGCAGCAGCATTAAGTTTACTTCTGAATTTGTTTTTGGTTTACATTTAAATAATAATAAAAATCGTTTAGAATGGTTATCAGAAAAACAGATTGCCGTATTGTTAAATCTGGTTATTTCCTTTGAATTGAAAAGTTCATTTTGAATTACTTATGCATATTATAAAAATGCATCTCTTTTTCATAATTTATGCAATCTATTGTAGTTTGATATATATATATATATATTTGGTATTTTTGTATATTAAGCTATAAATTACAATTAAAAAGATTCGAAAGGAAGAATAGTTTGATTGTATTATTGCAATCACTGGTTACCCATTTGTCAAATGTTTATTTTTCTTCCTTATAGACTTTCATAAATAAAAATTGTCAATTGTTGAAAAAACTGCATCAATTGATTTGTTCTCTTATCGTTGTTCTTTGGTTTTCCATTCCAGTCAATATACATTTCTTAAGACGTCACAAAATCCTTTTCCTTCTTCAATATTCATATTTATATCATGTAAAATCACCGCCAAAGTAGTAATTATAAATAAGTAAATCTCAAAATAAATATTAAAATTGAAATTAACATTACATAAAAACATTAAAAATAATCGCTGGAGAAATTAAAAGAAGAATCTCAAAGGGGAAAACAATCAACTCCAAATCAACTCCAAGAAATTCCAAAATTATCTTCTGCTTTTTTATTATTTGATCTTGCTGCATCGATTTTTTATTAATGCTTATGTTTGCCTGATTTTTTATGACTTGCGCAATTCTATTTTTGAGATTATGGTTTTGAAGTGGATCGAAGTTGTTCAGTAGTTTTAACTTAAGACAATATTTGAAAAAGAATTCTAAAAAAATTATCAAACAGCAGTGGTCACCATAGCAACGCATGTAATGACGACGCATGCGCACTGCTTACTATTACTCTTGAACACAGTTGAAAAGTGTGATGACGTCCAAATAAGGTGAGCACGCCATCAAACCCAAAACAACACCCATTTTACTAATGGGTAAAAAAAAAAATTATTAATTTTTAATAAGTTCTCTGAAATTCTATTATAGCGTTTCGATAGCATTAATCAGCGGGAAAAAAATATAGTTGCCAAGCCCCTTTTAACGGAATCTATCGTGGAACACTAATGTCGTTTTTTCAATTGCTCAGTTGTGTAAGAATTGAAGTGTCCCCAACCTCGAAGAAATATCCTTTATTGCCGAATTATTCTCTCATCTTGAAAATTAAATACCTTTTGTATACCCTGACCATCGTCCTCGAAAAACTAAAAAACTGGTATCAAACTTTCGAAATGAAAACCTTTACCTTTCTAATTGGGTATAATATGAAAAAAACACAACTACTTCGATTTAGAAGGAACAACATATGACGCAATGCTAAACGAATGGAATTTAGTTGTTGTTTATTTAGTTATTGTTATTAGTAGTTGTTGTTATTTGTTTTAGTTGTTGTTGTTTATTTAGTTGTATTTAGTTTCAATAACTTTTCTTTATAATGCAACAAAATCTGGCGAGCAGCTATTTAAACGATCGAACATTTCGTTTGTATATTTGTGGCTTGAAGTTAGGCTCGCAGAAAATGCCGTTCATGGGTTAAATTTAGTAGGAACAACACAACCTGTGACGTAGGCTATATTAAAGGAAAAAAAAAGGAGTGCTTCGATGAGAACGGCATTTTCTATTAAAAAAGGCATTTCTATTAAAAAAGGAGTGCTTCGATGAGAAAATATCTTTCTCATCAAGAGCGATTTCTGTTCTCAAAATATCAGACTGAAATGTAAAACAGTGAGTTTTTAAATGTCCGTTTAGAAATTTTACTCTCAGTTTAGTTTATGAGGTCACTAGTCAACTTACTTGGGTTGCCAATTTCTTAAATATCACCATTTTATGCATTGAATCAGATAAAAATTTCTTGTTAAAAAAATTTTTTTCCCTTTCGAATAATTGTTTTATGTTAACATTTTTAGGGTTGTTAAAAATGTCATTTAAACCTATTCAGTCGTGCCTTCTTATGAATGAAGTAAATTTTTGTTTCAGCCGAGAGCTGCAGCAGCAGAAAAAGCGGTTTTCACATTGCAAAGGAGAGTTCAAGAACAGATGATGTAAGTCTTTTGCGAACTTTACAGTGTGTGACCAGTGGATTGATTTCAAAATTGAAAATCTCGGAAACAAACGTTCGATGCCACAGGATTGTAATCTAACGTGCGAAATTCCAGAACACACATTGGTCAATAGAATACAAGGTTTAAACCTCCTAATCCTAACCTCTTTTCAAGTTTTAATGCCGAACTGATCACTTTGGTCATCGATGGCTTACAGGGTCATCTATTTCGAATTTTTATGACTAAATTTCAAAATTTCTGCATGAAACTTCTTTGAAGCTTATAAAATACCGCTTGTTTCATTTCCTCGTCACCCTTTGTTTCCGAAATATTTAGTTTTAAAATCGATTCGCGGGCAGAGCTGAAATAGATGGGGAAAAAATCCGGTTTTTTCTGAGAATAAGCTATGTTTTTCAAAAAAAAAAGAAATTTGCTGGTTTTTATTCACATGATTTTAAATGGGCATTGAAATCAATACATTCTCCTTTCTCAGAGAAAGTAGCAGAAACCTTCTTCTAGAAGCATTATGGTTTATAAACTTTTTGCAGACTTTTTAACTATTCGCTTAATTTTTTATAACATATTTTGATAAGTAACATTTTATTTTTTGACCTTTTTTTAAATTGCCTTCTGTAATTGCAACTTATAAAACTATGAAGAAAATTTTTTTTTGTTATCGTAAATTCTGTTTGTGGCAGATATGTTTGCAAATATTCAAAGTGATTATATTCAGTAGCTTTTAAAAAATTTGTTAAGTTAAAACTATTAAAATTAATGAAATATTTTATTGCATTCTTTAATTAAAATATTGTAAGATAATTATTGCTTACGGCTGGTATAACAGGTGGATCAGAATAGCGGGCTTCGTCATATTAAGCGACGTAAACAAAGGGTTAACATTTAGAAAAAAAATTTAATTAAAAACCAGTGCAATTAAATTGGAGTACATTAAGCTCTTGAAAAGCAAATGCTGTTTTTTATATTATAAATCAGCTGTTTAATTGCATGCCTTCATTTCTTAATTCATATTAGTAACAGACAGGCTTTGTTTTCTTTCAAAATTACCAATATTCCCTAAAATTTTAAGTTTAATGCTCAAAAATAACTTTTGTTTCTTTTCCGACTTTTAAAGACTGGAGAGTTTTTTTTTAATCACTACCCACTGGTCACACGCACACACACACACACACTCTCTCTTTCTTTCTTTTTCATTTCTTTTTTTTTTAAATTGAAGAAAATTGTTGACAAGCTTGCAGTTCTTTACTGTTTTTTAATGGTTCGAAGTTTTTATTTTATGATATTTGAATCGATCATCATTTTATGCAGGAAACTTGTAGGAGTTCGTGCTCGACAACCCTTGAAGATGAGTCATCGATGAAGAGTCGCGCCCTCTCTCCTGAAATTCTTGTCGATGATATAAACTCCAGAAAGAGTCCCAACTACCTCGTGCCGGAGTTTGTATTTGAGCCTGAAATCATTCATAAAGCAAATGTAAGTTAATTATTTTTTAAAAAATTTTTTTAATTACTATTTCATGTTATAGCTATGGTATGAGTTTGTGTATATATATACTTAATTTATGTACGAGAAGGGTTGGTGGTCAAAATCACTTTTAATTAAATTTATATGTAAGAAATAAATAGAATTACACATTTTGCTATCACTTTGAAATGAAATTTTGCTGAGAAAATAGCATATAGCGTATTCTCAGCAATGGGTGGAATACAAGATAATTGTTTTTGTCAATTTTTAAGCAAGAACTGAAGAAAACTATTTCTATAAATCAAGGTAAGTTCTACTTACCCTGTTCTTCAGGACTGCCACTGTTATTGGAGGTAATAAATGTCAATTTGTAAAGTCATAAAAGACTCTAATATGTTTTATAGACAATCACTTTAATAACGGAATTAAATAACACAAACAAAAAGAATTAACAATTAAGCTTCAATTATTTACGGAGCTAAAAAAGCTCGTTCGATATCATCGAGATCTTAACATCAACTGGTGGCGCTGTGGGCGCACCAAAACAACATACGCAGGAGAGCTATTGCGAGAATTCGCGACAGTTTTCGCATTGTACAAAAATTGTGTTTGCAGATGTTAAGCTAATGAATCCACGTTAGTTTTGAGTATACATACTTGATTTTTATTTCAAATGACGTTAATAAAATTAAGTAAAGAATTATCAGCCCCAACCCTCTCATTAAGTACCAATCGGTATTAAATCATTTCTAATTCCACTTGTTTTCTTTGTACCCTAATATACTGAAAATATGACTTCCACGGTTCACCCACTAAGTTCTTCAGTTAATGCAATTATTCGCCCTACCAAATAATTAAAACATTCAATTTTTTTCGAAAGAAGTAAAAACAAAATGTGTGAAAATATGTGGAAAAAAAGTTATTACAGGAAATACAGCATTATTTTTTGGCACCGGGTGCTGATATCATAAATGATTCTTGCTAAATTAGGAATGAGAAGGTAATATTGAGAAAGTTTCCTTCATTTTGATTGCTTACATTTGATCCGGTAACGAATTTGTATTAAATCCAACTGAGAGAAGCACCTTTTTCGCCATTTTCCTTCCTTGTCTTTCTTCTTTTAAATTTATTCATTTTAAAAATGATTTTAGCCTAACATAATTGATCTATTTGGGTCGCTACACTAAGAACAAGAGTTTAAAACACACGGGAGAAAAAAATTTTCACCGAAAAGCTGTTTCGAGATTTTCATCAAATAATTGCTTTGCAACTATCATAAGAATATTTCTTATCAAAATTATTTTACTCATTTTAATGTAAGAAGTTCTAAAAGAATAAATCGTATCAAATTTAACATGGCTCAAAGATAACAAAAACTTGATTTGGCCTAGCAGCACATCGATGGCTATATCAGACCAGATTAGAATTTACTATTTATGAAGTGTACATGATATACACCCTTATTTAAAAAGTTGAAAATTGTACTTATGTGAAGTAATAAACTAAAGTAGTCGTATAATTATGAAATTCCCATACAAAATTGTGGGAATCTAAACCTGAAATAATGTTCTGTTTCGACTTCTTTCAGATAAATATCCAAAAACATTTTTTTCCGTCTCACCGTGTAGGAATTGTGTTACGTAGGAATTGTGTGTCGAGTGCGAAAATTAATCAAGAATCGGTGGGAACTATAAACTGAAATTTTCAACATATCGATTAAATTCGCCAACTTTCTTAAAGGCTCACCATAAAATTTGAGTAACAATGTGACATTTTATGTATAGTATATATATACTAGCTTCCTTTAGATTATTTAGAAGTAATAACGGTTTAAATCCCTGTAAATCGACTTTATTAAATCTAGCATTGAAACATAATATTTTCAAATATCAAAACTTAAGTATAGCTTAAACATTTAACCACAAAGTGGGCTAATTTAGCATTTCTTCCGTTTCTGGTGTGATTCTTATAACTGTCATTGAACAGTCGACCCAATCTTGAGTTAACAACCGCCAATGTTTGCAATGCTGCCAAAATTACAATGCCTTGTAATTTTGGATCCAATCTAGAAGACAAGGGTCAAGTATTGGGAGAAATTTGCCTTCGTGGAGGACATTTTTGATGGAATTAACCCTCATTTGTGTTGACCACGAAAACCTCCCACAGTTAGCCTGACGGCAAGGGGACTCAATTTATGATCCGTCTACCCCTGAGAATATTTTGCATTAGCCCTTTGGTCGGTCTGGGAGGTTGGAACCGGGTGCGGAATTCGTATCGACTAGCGATCGCTGGGGTTCGAACCCCGTTCACCTCACTGGGAGGCGAGCGCTCCATCCCCTGAGCCATCACGTCTCTGATGTGATGTTTTACTGAAGTGAATTCACTTAAATTTATTAAAATGTTACTTAATTATGTTCCACTTAATTCTTAGATACTTTTTTCTGTTCCGAACTGCATTCTATTCATGCCTTTTTGACGCAATTGATCTCGATGAAATATTTGCAGCCCCTGGTGGATGAAGCGGAAGTGGACATGCTGCCATCGGCTAGGGAAGCCTTCCGGCGCTTGTCCACCGATGAGTACTTGTCCACTGTGAGTATCCACGAGGCAGCTGGAAAAGGTGACCTCCATGTCGTTAAACTCCTCACCAAGAAGGACACAAAACAAATGGAGTAAGTGGAGTAAATTGCAGAATTCTGGGGATATTTTAAGGGAAAGAAAATTTTGAAAACTGAAACATTTTATTTATTTAAATCATTCCATTCAGCAAAATTATTCATTTATTGCAAGAAACATTGTGGAAAATACAGGTTCAATTCTGCCTGAAAATACAGGTTCCAATACTTCTACTTAAGAAATTTTTCTTTTAGCAGAAAATGTTTCGGAATTTTTTTCCTAAGGACAAAACTGTTAGCAGCACAATTTGAAGCTTTTAGAAATGATGTCTTTAGTTACCATACATGGTAATACTTTCACTTTCGTTACTTGTAACGTAAGTAAAGGTACGTACTTTTACTTGTACTTCGCTACTTTTAAAATTAAGTACTTTTACTTATTTTTTTGATACCTTTTTATGAAAAGTACAATTATTTTTAATGAAAATGTTGAAAGAAATGGTTAATTCTGAAAAAATGTTCCTTTTCAAAAAAAAAATTTTTTTTTTTCGATATGTTTGAAATTTATTATTTTTGCAATTTCCCGAAAGGGTGGCTGGTGGAAGGGAACCTTTCATGGATTTTAAATGTTTGCGAATTATCGGAAATTTATATCTTACTGATTTCTTTAAACAAAAATTATAATGTTATTGAATTTTTTCAACAAAATTAATTTGTCACCAGGAAATTCTGAAAGTAAGAACAAAATTTTTAAAGATTTAATAGTTTTAAATTCAGCATAATTTAAAATTCCTCTTTATGTGCAAACATTAAATTTTGGTTTCTTTCAACTTTCACTATTTCAATAGAACTGAAGTAACATTTTCCTGCATTTTAAAGTTTTATACCTTTAAAATAAAATTTATTGGTTTTTAAATACATTATTATTTTGCATCTAATAAAATTTATGATTACTTTGAATTTCTATCGCCTTCGAAATGTATTTTAAATTCATTACTTTTTTTGTTTTGCACTTGTACTTTTAACTCTTTACTTTTTAAAATCAAAACTTTTCATTTTTCACTCGTTACTCTTTCTTACAGTACTTGCACTTTTATTTGTCACTTTTTAAAAGTAACGTTCCCATGTTTTATCCATACAAAATTTCCGTATGTTTGTAACCATACAAAATTTACATCCGACCAAAATGAGCATTGGAAACTTTCTCTTCTTTTTCGATACCACTATAATTAAAACTTGCATAAATATTTGAATAGAACACATGCGACCTATGACGTCAGATGATCAGCTGATAAGCAAAATGGAATGTTGAAATTAATCTAAGTTTCTCCACATGAGTCAGAATGTTAATTAAAGTTAATTAAATGCAATATCGTATCACACACCGAATCTGTTGAAATATAATTCTTTCTCGTCTATGTCTTTTACTTAATTTAGAATTATTATCTGTTTTCGTATTTTATTATAACCATAGTATATTTTTGTTTTGTGTACCTGGCAACTTCGATGCATAATTAGTTTGTTTATTTTCCACATGGCTTCATGCCTGTCTCTGTGTTAACTAAGAAATACATAGTGAAATTGAAACTTTTATGAAAGAATCTTTGTGTAAGAATATAGAATGTGTCTCTTAAGAGAATAGATACTTGACAGACTTGGCTCACTCGAAATGGAATGGAAAGAACAGTTGTTGTCATATGCAAATGCCACTTTTCAACAACCAATCAAGAACGATTTACCCACACTACATCACTTACAGGTATCACATTGCTGGTGCTCAAGCTAAAAAGAAGTAAATAACTTATTCTCCCCATTTTGATCGATCCGAATTTTTCGTAGGTAAAAAGGACCCGATTTCTACATTATGTTTCTTTTAAATTGTGCCAACAGTTTTGCCCTTTAAAACTTTCGGAAACGTGTGTTCCGAAACATCACACATCTTACTCAGGGTTGCTATAAAATAATTTCCATAATTTTGTCTAACCCCTAATAAGTTGATTAAAGATTTTTTTAATTTTTTACTCAATTTTTGATATAGTTTGAAAAATAACATTCTGTTTTATTTCTTAAAAAATATGAAAGAAACTTTAAAATTAGGAAATTATCCCTTTTCCTAATCATAATATATATTTTTGAAAAATGCTCAATTTTAAAACAATTTTTTAATAATTTTAAGGAGTTAAAAATAATAAATTTAAAGCTGATTTTTAATAAAGTAGTGCATGATGAATGATCTAGTCAATTTAAATTAAAAGTATTTGGAAATAAAACATCGATAACAATTATTAAGCTGGCTGCTCAAATGCAAATGCTACTTTTTTTCATGCAGCTTTCATACATTAATCTCTCATCCGTAATGGAAAGAGGCGAATTTTAGTTTACCTTCAAAATTCTTAATATTTCCCGAAAATTTGGGTTTAATCCTTAAAACCCCTTTTCACACCTTTTAAAATACAATGGGTTTTTTGCTACCCAGGTATACTTTTAATACATTTTTTAAACTTCCGACAAGCTTCCGATTGAAGGAGTAGGTTTTACTTCCGCCTTTTTAAAATTCTCAGATGAACTAAAAACTTCCTCATTTTCATCCATCTCGCATAGTAATTATATAAATTTTATTTTTATTAAAAAATATACACATAGTTTGATTTTGTAGTAGTATGATTTTTTATTTTTCAAATTGAAAGTTTTGATTAAAACGGTCCATCCCACTTTATCAATGTTTCTTATCTTAAAATTTCTGTCAGCATAAAAAATTTTTTTTTTTTTACGAAAAAATTCATGAATTTTGAAAGTTTTTATAAAACTACGATAAAAGAAATTCCTATATATTTCATTGCATAAAATGCCTTTCTTTATCCTTTCAAGCAAAACAAATTAGAAATGAATAAATAGATTTTACTGTTTCTGAGTGGCGAGACTAAAAAGCATGATGATTTACCACACATCTTCAAATGTTTACGTTTTCCTGCATCGTATGTATTTCTCAGTCTTAGAGAAGGATTTTTCAAAAAGCATCTCTAGATTTTGTTTTAAGAAATTCTGCCAACATCTAAAAATAATATTGACTGGGTGTTGGTTCCATTTGTTGGTTTAAATATAAGGTTGATTTTAAAAAAAAAATAAGTACTACCTTTTGTTAACCATCATAAATCCGAACTCTCTTAGAATCAACTCAATTTTGAAGAGGCAAAACAAAACGAATAACAAAATAATATTCCTAAAAATAAATTAAATTTACTCAATCTTGATACATTAATAACAGCGATTCTTGTTCCAAACAGAACTGTTGATGAGAGAGGTTGGACACCCATTCATCTTGCAGCAGCTCATGGACATTCAGAAGTTGTTAAGGCAAGTATTTTATACCCAAACTCTAAATTGATTGGTTCTCATTTAAAAACTCTCAAATCTTACTTCACGAAAAACTTTTAGGGAGATTTATTGCATAAATTTGTTGAAAATCTTCCATAAGCTCTTCATTCTGGACACAGCTCAAAACGCGGGTTTAAGAAAATGGACATAGCTAATTTAAAAAATATAGATACTTGATAGCACTTGATTCTGTTCGCCTATGAAAATGATTCTTTTTCAAAAAATGAACTAGTTACATTTTCCTAAATCACCTAGCACATTATTTTTTTTAGTTATTCTTTGGAAAAAATTTTGAAAGTCAGTAGGTGTTTTTACGAAGTTGTCATGGGTCCTATAAAATGATATGAAGCATGGATTTAAATTTTTAGAAAGCATTTCATCGTTTAGTGATCTGAATGGAACTGAATTTAGGTTACTGGGCACCGTAGTGCCTGTATAAAACTTGAGAATGCATGAGAGAATAAATTCCTTAAAGTAGAATTTACATGAAAAGCTATCAAATAATTTGGAATATCGAGCTAATGAGGGGGAGGGGAGCAATTCCTAGACCGGGGCAGCAAACTGTGTGGTCGTGGTGTCGGATCGGAGCTGTGGTGAAGGTATCAGGAGGGATTACGACCTGGGGATTGCCGTTCGGCTCACTAAGAGTGTTTTATTGACAACAAAGAGATGAGGGATGGTTTACGTGGGTAAATACACGGAAAAAAATATCAGTGATGAAAAAAGTAGTGCTAGAAGATTATTAAAAAAGGTTTTTAAGTGTCCACAGTACAGAGATCAAAAGTTCTCATTTTCCGCCAAAACGAGAATGTCCATATTTGAAGAAACACAAATTGTTGTTTTTCTGTAAGTCTGGTTTCATTCCTGAAGGAAGACTGGATAGTACAGTGGCATGATGAGAAAAAAAAGGAGCCACAGGAGATAATTGGCTCTCAATTATTTGGACCCAATTGTAATCGGTTATGTGACGCTTCTACCGAACATTGCTGTAATGAAATAAAAAATACTGATTTGTTTATAATAATTCATTTTGGCGTAATTTTGAGGATCGAGTTAAATATATTTTTTTTTCCAGTGGAAAAATTAACTTGCCTAAACACAATTTTTCTCGTCAAATTTCCGATTTTATCGCATTTGGCGAGGTGTCTAATTCTTAGCGTGGTCCCTGGTGGAGAAATTTTCTTACCGACTGCATACTTCGTATTTTTATTATTTTTCAAGGACCCTTTGGGCTTATCATTACTTATTGAAGAAATGTTCATAAAACTGCAAACTACATTTATATAAAAGCATCCTATAAAAACATTTTCTCTAAATTTATGAATTCAATAAATCTGAAAATAAGTCAGCAAATAAAATTAGTTCTTCACTTTATAAACGCTTTGAAATGTTTCGATTATTATTATTCATGTGTTATTTTTCTATTATTATTCCTCCAACATTTTGATTAAAATAAGCATTATACAATAAATGTTGGTAAATACGTTCATTAATGAATTGTAGTTTTACATTTGAAACTCGACCTTTTATTAATAATTAATTAGTTATCCAGTTTAATATGATGTTGCCAAGTACCTATCTACTTTTCGGGCAAATCTAAAGCAACGAATCAAGCAAATCAGTATGAGCACACCCATAAAACATTCTCCCTCTGTAAGAAAAAAGTTAATATCAATTGTGGATTTTCATTTCAGTATTTGGCTGGAGAGGGTGCCCACCTGTCAGCTTTAGATCCGAGCAGTTATACTGCCCTCCATCTGGCATCCATGAATGGTCACAATCATGTGCTCGAGGTAAGTCTTTATTTTGTTATTCTTCAATAGAAAGACGAATGAAATGGTCACCGATTAAAATTTATAATCAACTCTTTTTTCCCAATAGTTATTAAATAAAATAAAACAGCATTGTTTTTTTTTTCTTTCTTTTAATTTACCGATTGCATTTGAAGATCAAGAAGTAGGAACAGTTTGTATCCATCTTTCATGAAAATAACGATTGGATCGTCTTTAGAAGATTATTAAATTTTGACAAATCATTAACGTGGAAAATCGGTTTTCCTCGAGAGTCATTATACTCTGAGATGGGCAGTTCTAGAAGAAAACGTTGCTATCTGGGGTTGAAGTTCGTTTTCTCTTAGAATCAACTTTCATGAACATAAACCGTTCTTCTTCTAATTTTCATTTGTTTAATTATCATGTTAATTAGTTTAATTACCAGTTATTATCTACATTTGTCACAAAAAATTAAGAAAGATCCCAAATGGATAGTTTTTATGGCAGTTAAAATCGATCGTTTTTATGGCAGCTTTAGAAGCCGATTTGATTATTCACCCCCTGATTTTAAGACTTTTATATTCGTGTTTCGAGCATATTACAAGTTACGGATGGACCACAAGTGTAAAAAAGCTTAAAGTGGTGACAATTCGTGACAAAGGAGGGGCAACAAGAAAGGAGGGACATCACACAGCTTAGTTGAAATCGGAATTTAATACTTATTATCAGCAGATTTAATTATTTTACCTTATTAGTTTTTATGTTGTTATGTTTTCATATTTTGTATCAAAATAAATATATTTATAGCCATTATTTTTGGTATGCTGACAAACATCTTTAAAACGCTTAGTTAAAATTTTGAAATATATTTTGAAATAGTGTATGTAGCATATGTTTCGTTTCTGGAACTGCTATTTTATGTTTAAGTAATAAAGCGTGATACGCAACAAGAGCTGTATGAACACTTTGTAAGAAAGGGGGGGAGGGTATTGAAAAAAAAAAGAATGACGCCTTTTATGAAGTCTCATACCATCATTTTAAGTAAAAAGTGAAATTATGTTCGAAATGTTGCGAATTTTCAATATTACTTTTCCGTACCTATACTTCCAGTAAAAAATGATAATATATCTATCTATCATAATACCAGTTTGAAAATTAACAGGTATACCACCCCCTTCCTCTTTACTGTTCAAGCCTTAAATAAGAAATTTGCCAATTATTGTTTTCGATTATATTTCTGATTGACGTTTGGAGACAAATAGGATAAATAATTGGTTAAAAAACAATGGAAGTTTCTTCAAAGTATCTTAATATGAATAAACAATCGTTTAACGCAGTCTGTTATGAAGAGGTAATCTTTTTTCTATTAATATGAAACGTGTTTTGACGAAAAAGTTGGCAGAATATTTACGCTTAAATTAGGTGAATAAATTCTAGTGTTAGCTACCACTTTAGCTTTAAAGAAAATTACACTCCTTTCAGACAGAAATGAATCGATTTTTATGCATTTTTTTAATAAAATTTTATGCATACCATATATTACTAAATTCTTGTAGTGTTTGCTTGATATATTTTAGCAGAAATTTGCAAATGATTTATCGAAAAAAAATTAAAAAATTATTTTTTGTTGATACAGGGATTGTAGCATCCTAGTAAAAATAAAATAATGGTTGTATAATTATAACATTTTCTTCTATTTTTTGATGCAACGCCATATTTTAACCGACGCTTTCGTTACCAATTTAAGTAATAGTATTTAGTTCTAAAAATCAAATACTATGTCATTTTTAAAATTATACAGTGTCGTTTTTAAATTGTCTTACTTAATCTTCGAAATAAACCATTGATAAAGACAACTCACGATTAATAAACAACATCCTTTACTGAAAATAATTGTTATTTTAAACTGAATTGCGAGTATTCAAAAGTAATCTGTAAATTTCCATTCCCAAAAATGATATGAAAACGCAAGTATGAAGAGAAAGATGGCTCCCTAGGAAAAGAGGAAAAAACGATGAAGGGATGTCATTAGACAAAGATATGGATGTGACCGACTCTTTTATTGACTTTTAATGAATTTTTCGAATTCTCTGAATGATTGTCGTTTGCATCGGAATCATTTGTCGGTTTTCTAATGAGGAAGGATGTTCGGGAAAAAGATTCCAAATCGATCGACGTAGAATTATTAATATCCTCGCAGACAAACAATTAATTAACTCGGAGCAGCACTTTATTTTTGCAATAAGAAATGTTCTACTTTCATATTTGTGAAACGGGACTTTATTCATGAAATACAAACATTTCACTACGAAGTATCTCTAATGTAATTCCCCCAGCCGTCTTCTAATATTTAATTATAGCGTTTTATTTACTTATTTTTATTTATTTATTTAAATGATATTTATTTATTTAAATGATATATATTTATTTCGTTAAAATATTTATTTTAAAGACTCGCCGAAAGAAAGACAAGTCCTTATACACTTAAATATGCTTGTAAAATTTTTATTTTCAGATGAGCAAATAAAATATGTCAAAGTATTATTTTCTGTCGCCCATGTACAAGCTTTGTTTTTTAACGGCAGGTACTGAACTTTCGTTCTTCATCTCAGTGTGCAGCTCTAGTGCGACGTAAATAAAAATAAATAAAAAAAACCTATCATCTCGGAAGATGCCGGAAGTGTTGCTCATTTGAAGCTATACAGTGGGCGCCTGTGAACCTAAGTCATGGAGGTGACCCACTCCACGATGCCACAGATACCCGTTCATGGGGTGGGCCACATTCACACGCATCAGAGGACAACACACAGAGAGAGAAACATCCATGCCCTGAGGGGAATTTGAACTCGCAGCCATTGGCTTCACAGTCAGGCACGCTAGCCGCTCTGCCACCTGGCCGGCCCACTTACAGGCTGGCAAATTGACTGATGATTTGTACCATTTCACCCTGATCGTCAACTTTCTAAAATATAATTTTCCTTTGTTAATTATAAACAAATATACTTTAATATTTTGTAAGAGCTTAAGTACACCAGCGTATATATGATTATGATCAGAGACTCCAACTACAACGCATTCTCTGTAGTTTCAGAAAATATTTTTCCTAGTTGAAGACAGGGTAATATTTGAATAAATTAGACGCCACTCAATACAGGTAATTTAAACAGATACATGTCAAGTCATTTAGTTGAAGTTTATCACCACATTGCATATAACTACTTTGTCATCATTTAGAATAACCCTTTTATATATTCTATTTGCATTCCCACCACCTCATCGATCAAGATCAAAATGAATGGGACCTCAACAGGCACCCACATATTCTTAGACAGTTAAGTTCAGAAAGTTCCATTCAATATTTTTAAAACATCTGTTAGTTCAGTTCTCTACCTCTGAAAAACGAAATAGAGTTGGAGTCTCTGCACATTATACTTGTCAACTTCAAACAAGTGTTTTTTTACTCAGTGGCAGTAAAGTAATGATTTTATAGGCAAGTACTTGATTCTCTTTTCGCCATTCAGTAAAATACAGTAAGATTTCTAAGAGTTTTTTTTAAAAATTACTTAAATGTAGTGGTAATGAAAGGCACATTAAATCAAATGTGTTAAATCAAGAATCACGCATGAATACAAACCCACATTAAAAATAAAACCTTTCGGAGTATGAGGAAGGATTCATTAGACCACAAATCATTTATAGTGGTAGTTAAAATTATTCTTAATTAGATGTATACATCCAAGAGAGGCGAAAGTTCTTCTATCGCTTTAAATATAAAATTTTCCTGTAGCAATGATAAACACCAATGCATAACCTCTTCACTACTGTATAAAGTACTAGTATAAAGGAATATATCAAAAAAAATATTTTACAGTTACGAATTTCTATTTTACTTCCATCAATCGTAATAAGAAAAGCAAAATGCGAATTATACTGCCAGGGAGCTAATAATTTTAGGCCCACAAACCGAGGGTTTTAACTAAGTAAAATAATATAAATATTTCAAATGTTAAATTGCACCTAAAGTAGAAACAAATATGCATAATGTCATATTTAAATACAATTACGAAAAGATTTAATAATTAACTAGAAAAAAAATAAGTTTTAAAAAATTTTTAAAGGTTTTTTTTTCTTTTTTTTACAATGTGATGCAATACTAATGCTTTACTGCATGAATTCTCAGTTTCAAAACTATTTTAATCATGCAAACGACGCAAAATAAATAATTATTGAAAAGAATTTAACATTGACTACAAAAAAATATTTAATTCCTGGGGTAAAATTTCAAAATTATGGAAAGAAAACGCAAAAAGTTAATGTTATTAAATTTATGTATGTGCCTTAGTATAAAACAATTCATTAAAATACACATGAAAATATTTCTAAATAGATATAAAATCGAATACTTATAATACTATGAGATTTCACTAGATTACTATGCTGTTATAAATTTTGCCATAAGTACCAAGTTACACATACGTAAACCTGCATGCTCTTGACTGTATTATTTTTAAATATTAAGTATATACAAATTTAATCGCTTCTTACGGATCACAGAACTACTAAGTCAAAAGAAAAAAATATTTTCTGAATAACTGAATAATATAATTTTTAAAATTCGTTACATATTGGAACATTTGGTTTTAGCGTCATTTCTGCCCAAATAATTTACATATTCTGTATTGATTGCGAATTCCCCAAAAAGCTTAAATATCTAAAAATGTTTCAGAAAAGGTAAAACTTATAGCATGTTTTTACTACCCAAGAACCGAAGTAATGAAGAGGTTACAACAAAAATAATACAGAAATGGCACGAATTCGTTTAGAAGAAATGTAAGGAATCGCTTTATTATTGACGCCAATGATGTTTAATTAATTCTGGTAAAAAGGCACTATTGGTATTATGGTAATTGGTGCAGTTTTAGTAGGCACCAAATGTAGATACTATGTATTATGTCAGTGCATTTGATACATATTCATACTGCACCAATACTATGAAGCTTTAATATAGATACTGTGAAAAGTGGTTTTTTCCTTCCTACCCTCTAAGATATGTACCGGAGAAAATCTCGTGATTGTGGTAAATTTTGACTGTCATGAGTTGGCCTCGAGCTACAGATCATGCCTAATTATTCTTAGTACAGTTAATCTTTATTTTGATGGGATGAAATACTAAAAATGTGTTTTGCTTAATCTTATAACGTAAAACCATCGGGAAGGACAAGATATAATACATTTAAAAAATTGAATTATTTTAGCTTCATTTAATTGTGTTGGTATATGTCTTTTAGATCTGTGCAGGATATTATAGTATTTTCTGCACTCGTATAATGATTGTTTAGTTTTTCCCCTCCCATCTAAGAAACGGGTATTCGGCTAATAGTTAATATTAAAGCCTAATTAATATATGATTTCCTCCTATTCTAGCGAAAGATTTTTCATGAATATTAAGAATGATAGCAAATAATATTCGTCACCAGGGCTCCAACTATATGCTTTTTGTAAAATATTTTAGGAAATGGTAGATAATTAAAAACTAAAGTCTTTGGAATTTTCAGCAATTTTGCTGAGATTTTAATAGCCTCACCACTAATGAGCTGAAGTTGAGTTGAGTTGATGATGATAAAGAGGATTTACGCCACTTGATTTTATACTCTGTGCCTTGAGGGAGATAAAGTTTAAATGAATTGACATTTCAGGGTTGAGATGAGTAAATGATAATAAAGAATGGAAGTTACAGAGTGATCATGGAAAAAAAGTAAAGCTGATTCGATGCCTACGAGGTAGAGTCAGTAAAATTCCCTGAATGGTTCCCTACATTCTCGCACGTGTTAGTTGGAGCGGAAATATTTTTTAAAGGTTATCAGTACTCATAACGAAGAGACACAACCATCTGGAATTCATTTCTGGTACTGTCAGCATTAGCTGTAGATCATTTTTGACGAAGCAAATTTCTCATTCGTCCGGCTTTAAAATGTCGTCTTTAGAGCAGCAGACAGACGTATAATTTTACGTTTTGCTCAGAAAATCACACTCATAGACCCTCAAAAAGCTGTAAAAAGCACATGGAAACGATGCCATGAAAAAAAAAACGGCATGTGTACGAGTGACTTAAACGTTTTCGTGAAGGTCGCGCAGACATCGTAGATAATCCTCGGCGTCCTTCCTTTTCCACCGCATATGAAGGTTCGAGAAAACGTGCGTGCGGAGGTCCTCTGAACTTGGAATTTTAGATGTTCACAGCATTCTCCATGATGAGTGAAACATGCATCATGTCTGTTTGCACATGATTCCAAAAATATCATTACCTGAACGAAAAGACGTGAGTGAACATGTACAGGGATTTAGTTGTCATAGTTGATGAAGATGACAGCTTCTAGAAGAAAATCTTAACAGGTGATGAGCCGTGGAGCTTTCCTTACGACCCTCAGACAAAACGTCAGTCAAGTGGATGGGACGTTAAACCATCACCAAGGAAGGAAAAATTTCGTTTGGACAAAAAAAAAAAAAAAAAAAAAAAAAAAAAAAAAAAAAAAAAAAAAAAAAAAAAAAAAAAAAAAAAAAAAAAAAAAAAAAAAAAAAAAAAAAA